CAGAACTTTGTTTTAGAAAGAGGATCTTAACTATAAAATCATCACCGTGTTATCAGAGAATGACAAATACCCCTAGCAAATGCCCAGCTTTATATTTCTTTAATAGCTGGAACTACTGAAAAGCCTGAATTGGGTCAGAGTGCTTTTAACCTGGCTGAAAAAATCTAAAGATGGGATTGTTCAATTCTATCAATTCTTCATTTCCTATTACCAGAAATCCTGTTTGGGGGTTTCAATATATGAAAGGTAAAAAGATCACGAGGCAACACTGAGGCAGGTAAATATTGACAGATCCAAAGCACACACCAGTGTCCAACAGAGGCTTAAAACAACTGCCTGTGCTGCTCAGGGACCAAGTCAATCCTATGTATGGGAGCTGTCAAGGTAAAACTTTCACAGTTTTCTCATTTTTGCTGTATAAATGTGTTCCTTCTATTAGATTTCTTTATCCCTTTTAGCCTTTCTAAATGACAATTAACTCTGCCTACCCTATCAATAGCAGGTAATTTATTTGTTTTTACAGCTGAGCCTGACTGCCATTGATTTTATTGGAGTAATTTGCTGGAAATGATTTTTTAATGTTAGATTTATTACAGAGGCACTTCATTGTCCGATAAATGAAGTAAATTGTATTTTAAAAGTAGCAAAATTAAAGAACCACTGAAATTTGAATGAGTTTTTTACTAGCACATTAGTTCAAAAGGTCCCTTATGCATCTCTTGTGTGGACCCCTGTTTGCACACAAGAGATTTTATTCTGGGCTTGTATGGGCTCCCAAAAGCACAAGCCTAAACCACACAGAAGCAGACCTGGGTGCAGTAGTGACTCAGAGATTGTGCCCTCCCTGCTCACTCCACTGGTACTGTGTGAATTCACCCAGCTCAATGGGACCGATATTCACTACAAAGAAAGATATTGAAAATGAGACTTTTAATTTATTGATGTATTTCTCCTTTTATTGGCTGTCTTCCTCAGTTTTTAAACCTCTTGCTTACTCTGTTCTAACCAGCTGCAGTTGGGAGTAGGATTTGTGACTTGCTCACCTTTTACATCTGCTCTCTGTAATGTTTCAATTGCTCTGCATAAAGATGCTGCAATCCATCCTGGAGAACAGTAAATTATAGATTATCACCTCTACCTCTCAGTGCAGTTTACAGTAAGATTTTTAGCTGAATGTGACATAAGTTTCCATTGTATTTAGAGTAAAACAAAAGGATTTGTTGTTTTGTGTGCACTTCATTTTTCAGGCCCTTTTGTGCATTGAAAGAATGGCCACACTATACTGTACTAAGAAAAGTACATTTTCAAGAATTCCTTCTGAGGGACAGCCTCTCTGTGCTGTCCCAGTAAAGAGCTCTGCCTTCAAGACATGATTGCAGCCCTGCAGGATGTGCAATGGTGCTGAGCAGTACTGGCACATCCTGCACTCCAGACTAACACTTCCCTCCCACTCCCACCTCCGCACTGTGGGACTTACTTATGACACTTGCTGCCACCGTATCATTCACTTCACTTAGTAAAACTGGTGTAAACATAGCTTTTATCTGCCTTGTTCATTTAAATTGCAAGCTCTTTAGCACAAGGATTGTCGCTAATCTGTATCTGTGCAGTGTTTAAAATGCTGGACACAAAAAGTGAAGGGACAGCTTGCAATTTTTTTGTGTGTGCACTACCAGGATATAACATTATTCTTAATAGTAATAGCAATAATAATAATAATAATAATAAGTAAGAATGGCTGCAATTATAATGATTTGCATGAATAAGAAAGGCATCCCTTTTCTAAATTTTCATATTTTTGTTTAATTGTAAGATGATTTTACATTTCTCAAGGCAGACTGCAAAAGTCAGTCTTGTAAAAGTTGTGTTTAGACACCCAAATAAAAATATCGTGTCAGCATTCACAGTGCCTTTTATTCAGACAGGGTCCTGAGTGCTCTAACTACTAAGTTTTTGCAGTTAATGGCAAAGATGCTGTTAACAGTTTAAATGTTTTCTTGGTCAGGTGCCTCTGAGACCTTTATATGACACTTTAGAAGAGAGGGTCCTCTTAGAATCCTGCTACAGTTTTTTGTTCACCTGTCTCCCAAGCCAGCATAATTCCGCTCAAACAGAAAACTGATGCCCAAGAGTTTTACAGATAGAAATTGAATCTGAGCAATTTGGACCTGAGGGAAATGCCAGCACTAGTGAGAGCTGGTTGTTTCTCTGAACTTCTACAAAGGATCATATGAAAAATTAAATCTCAGGTATAATTTGAGAATAAGGGATAAGTCTCTGATATTTTCAATTTGAACAAAACTGTGAAACAGCATCCCAATTGAGTGTGTAAACCATTGGAGCTACAAGTCTCTTGCTGATCTGGGAAAGGAAAAACAGGTTTTTTTAGGTGTTGTGGTGGTCTGGACATACATGCCTCTGATCTGTCAGTGACTGATGAAGTTCCTGATCTCCACATTCTACTTTGCCCTTCTTCCAGGTTAGATTGGATATCCCTCTGCTCAGTTTTCTTCTGAGGATCCTTGATGCCCACCTGCCCGGATGTTGCATAAAAGTAAACTTATTTCTGACTGACTTGTCTGCTGCTCTATCAATGCATCTGGAAGAATTGTGTGCTCACAACTTTTGTAAATAAGGTGACTCTAACTTTGAATCTGACTTTACCCTAACTTTTGACATCTAGGTATGAATATTTCTAGGTTTTGCAGGTATTCATTGAAAGTAAAAAAAACAAAGCAAAACTATGAGTACAATAGGCAGGCCTTTTTGCTATTTAAACAGTATTTGAAACAACTTCCATAAAATGTATGCCAGAGGTCTGACTTTATTTCATACTGTGCCTTTTTTGAAGAGCAAACCAATGTGTGAAGCAAAACTTAAAAATAAAAACCCATGAAAATTTTAATACAGGACCTAGAGTGCTTTCCTTTTAAATTTCCTAGCTTGTTTCCTGCCTCTGGTTCTGTCACTATTATTGATATAAGGAATCCATCAACATATTTTTATGGATGATTAAGAAAGGCTGACCTTTCCTTTGCAGGTACAAATAGGTACTTCTTCAGAGGCTGTAAATGAATGACAAGATAATTCTATCCATTTAATATTGAAGTGATGTTGATAGTATCATTCTTCTCATGTTTGAAACGGGAAAGTATAGAGACCTTTCTCCCTCACTCTGTTCTGCTTTATGTGATGGATTTTCTCTCTGACTAATCGCTGTCACATTAACCTGCACTATTTCATCCTTCAGAGCTGTCAAGATAATGACGATAATCGAAGTGGCTCATTGTAGGTAAAGGAAATTATATGAGCAAAGTAATATCATAAAACAGTGTTTAAATATTTTAATTTCATTTGTCAGGGCTGCCCCAACACTTCATTACACATATAACCATCTCTCATCAGTGGAATTAGTGCATTATTCATTACTGTTAATTATTTTCACATAATGGCTGCCCTGATATATTTAACCTCCACATTATATCTCAGATAATGGGCCTGTAAAATTGAATTGTGTGAAGAGCGGAGTTCTAAAGCTCATTTGCAGAACATCAAAGAACAAAGAAGAGAAAAAGAATTCTAAATGGGACATTTCACCCAGCTGGGGCCAAACATTTGTTTCTGTCTGATTTGCATATGGAAAATAGGTGGTTCAGAAGTGGTTTAACATTGTACATGCTGTCTGCTCCTATTACATAGCCAATTAGAATTTGATAATGTCCCGAATGTTTGAGACAACTTGCAAGCCAATCTATTGTCTGATGATCATTGGCAACGAGCTGGAAAGTTAACAAAAGAAAGCAGACCTTTCTGAAGGACAGACCACAAAATCACATGGCATATTAAGGTGTCACCTATACCACAAGTGAACACTTCTTTTGACAAACGTCTGTATTATAGAAATGATGAAAAACTTGCTTGGGACCAAGGAGATCCAAGTCTGAGGAATTCCAGTAGCACTCCAGTAATTAATTAGTTTTCCCTGGGACAAATTCTCTGATGCTGCCTGTCATGTGGAGATGGGCGAGGAGGAGAGCACAGCATCCTGAAAAAGGTGAGGGGATGTGCACTGAGTGCAGCAAGCTGAGCCAGCAGCCCTGATGGACTCAGCACCACCCAGTATACAAGGAATGCATGTTATCACCAGCCTCTGCCCAGTGGGGCTCAGTCATGCAGAGGCTGATGTATCTGCACATCATCTCCCACAGAGGATAGGAAATGCAAGACTCTTTTCCTCTGCTTTACCATGTGCCTTGAACACACACCCCAATAAAACAAAGTCAGTACAGATATGAGACTTTGCATAATTTAGTGTTTGAGGAACCAGCTGAATCACTAGAAGTAGTTTCTGCTCTAAGTTGCAATTTAGAGGACACAGCCTGTCCACTCTAACTGTATGGATTTAACGAAATAGTTGTAATTTTTTTCTTATTTAGAGGCTTATATGTATTTTTTTCTCATTTAGAGGCTTATACATTATTCACAGGCTTCAATGGACCTGAGAAGGCATTGATTTCAAACACTTTATAAAAAGAACATTTATCAACAGTTTAACATGCTATAAGGCTAAGGTCGGTTCCGAAAAAAAAATAAATTACCTTTTAAACATAAAATAAATTGGAATTTTCTTCAAACTTTAGTCTAAGAGTGTTTGTGAAGTTTTCTGTTAAGTTCCCACACGGCTATATGAAGCACTCTTTTGCTTTCATCAAAACTTCAAGAGAATAGCTCTTCTGAAATTCATGTGTAAAATATACCTTTGCTCTGTTTCATGTCCATAGTAAATTTTATACATCAAAAAATTATTTCAGACCTATTTCTTGTCTGTTACAGAATAACTTATGGCTGATGATGGGACTATGATCTCAGAGGTAACTCAGCAAATCAGAAGTCAGAAAATGTTTAATGAATAACAACACAATTCACTTGAGGTCATTAACATACTTTAGTCTTATTGGCCAAAAAGTCATAATTCACAGGAATGATAAATGTCTTTTTGCTAAGTGGCAGTAGGTTTTTGGCCATATCATTAAATATTTATACAACATATACATAAATCTTCTTCCACTTGGCATCATCTGGGATTCATTTGGAAGAGACCCATTTATTTCACTCCGTAATGTTTCAAGTTTGTTGCAGGCTTTAGCCCCAGCCTCCAAACTCTAGATCCAGGGTGGTTAGAAAGGAAAACAACTTTGGCATGGTCCCATCTTAGGAGGGGAAATCCTCTCTTCTTAGTCTGTCCATTCTCAGACTATGATTTTTTATGGATTCGTATACAGTCTTTTATACATCATACAAGCTGTGTGAACAAAACCTGCTGATAGTTTCTGCTTTCTAAACCATTTTTATTTCATATGATATTTTCAGGGTACCATGGAATATGGACAGATAGAGAGATTAGAGAGATCACTATATGAATCAAATAATTTCTCCATATCTAAATACACTGTATGGACTTTGGTCAAAGACATGACAAATATTAAGTCTTCCCACAAACATTTGAGTATTTTCAAATAAGAATAGACTTACAGGAGTGGTCTGTCTTTCTATTCCTGTCTAATCAGATTTTTTTTTTTCTCTCCTGAAGCAGCTTCTACTAGGGGGTTAAGCTTGACTTGCATCTGAATTTCACTCCAATAAAAATCTCAAAGTCAATCCTCTCTATTCAGATGAACTTCTCTCCATGTCTCCTATCTGCTGTTCTGGTGAGATAAAAATATGAATCTTATCAAAGATGTGTATTTTGATAGGAGGACCCTGTCATATTCTGCTGTTTTCCTTTGATTGAAAAAAAAAAATCACAAAAAACTAACAAACAAGGGCTGGATGAGGAAATCCAAATTCATATAAATAATTATATAAATGAATTCAATAAATTCATCAAAAATGGGAGGATACCTCAAGACCTACAGGTCAACAGAATGAAAAATAACCTGTGATTTTACCTAGTGCCTTTATATCCTGCATACCCACCATGTATCAACTTCTCCTCAATGGAGTAACAGAGAACCAAGACAGTAAGAAACTGAGTTTTTCCTCTATAGCAAAATGGGTATAAAGCAATGGATGAAAAATTATGGCATCAAGAAATCTCTTTAGACTTCCTGATATGGTACAAAAAAACAGTCTCAAGAAGGGTTGTTGAGATATCTTGGATAAAGCCTGGTGGTCTCATAATTTTTAAAAGTGAGATAATTCTTTTCTCTGGAGATTGAGGTACTAGAAAATTTTACATCATTGATGTAAAATACATACATGGGAAACATCACTATTGATGGCAATAATTAAACTTCCAATAGTATTTTTCCTATAATAAATATTGATATATATGCATAGGCACATATTCAAACAAAATCAGGGTAGTTGTTTATGTTAAATTGTCTTGAAACTGAGTTACTAATTGAGTAGAAGTGAGACTGGAATTTAAGGAAACAATTTAAGTTGTAGTCAGGGGTGTATTTCCTATCAATTACTGCTGTTGAAGGATGATTCTGTTTTGAAATCTGCCAGAGTCAAGGGCAGCAACATCATATTAGATGCTAAGAAAGACCTCTGTCTACTGAGTCTCAATTCCATAACTGTTAGAGGCTTTTTCCATGTCAGCAATCTCAGGTATGACTCAATTGTGGTTATAATGGGAGCTAACATTACTTCAGAACTATACTTAACCTAAGACATGCTCTTCACAGGAAAGATACACTGTTTCACAGTGGAATAGCACTTTGAATGTAGTTGTGTGTCCTAAATATTTTGGATACCTCAAAACCTTTCATAAACTGTGTCTAGGATGCAGCTGCCAGTGTAAGTTTAAAAGCAAAGGCTAGAGCTGCATTTGAGTGATGATGAAATATGTCACTTCTTGCAGTGGAGATTTTTAATTAGTTTTGAGTAGAACACATTCTTTTCCAAGATGAAGAACATAAAATCCTAGCTCCTCTTTCCAGTCTCTGTATATACTTATGTCTGTCCAATCTTTTTGGCATGCATTGCAAAATATTTTTGAAAATGCCTCATTTTCTGTGACTGATTCATATTAAAACACATGTGTGGAAAACTGAATGGAGAGACTTTACAATCAGCTATTCTATATAAGCTACCAATGAAACTACCCAGCAGAAGGGTATGAAAGTAGGAAATAGTTGTGTCAGAGGTGAACATCTCAAGATTCTGTGGCCCTATGACAGCAGCACTCTGCTGCTAGAGGTTAAATCCTCCTTCTTGCACTGAAGAATCAGCAGGGGAAACGCATAAACAACACTGAGAGAAGGTAAATATGATCTTCAGACATATCTAAGGAAGCAGATGACAGTCAGGCTTCCTCCAGATGTTTGTCTCTTCTATACACACCTATTTGCACAGCATCTCAGCTTCCATGGGTAGAGGTCCCAGCAGATCCCACAAGTGGCCTGTCTTGTCCTTGAGCTGTTCATCTCACTCAGGCCCCATATGCAATCTGCAGCTCTGAAACTTCTCCTGAGTAAGTTCTGTCATCATGTGCAGTCATGGAAAATGAAGCAGCACTCTGAGTATGGTTTGGTTTGCTGAGTCCTGTGCAAATAAAAGATCCAGAATTAACTGTTCTATTTTAAGAGGGCGACAAGAGTTTGAAGACAGTCCAAACTGTATCAGAACATAGAAGTCTATATAGAATGAGACAAAAAGAAACAAAAAGGAATATCTTTTGGACAATTTCTACAAACACTTCTTCCATTCTATTCAACTTACAGGAATGGAGGCACCTTGCTTAGGTGCTCTAAATTTCCAGGCTGTAATCTATGTCAATGTGCATCCTGTCACAAAAACAAGATTGCTGAAATTGGCAGAAATTCATGTCTGCTCATTGCTAATAATTCTGACCAGATTTTTTTCCTTAGAAGAATGGGATAAGCTTCAAATATGACAGAAATGAGATGGTTCTTCAACCTTTAAGTTTCAGCAGAATGAAAACCATCCTGACTTCATATCTTTCAAAAATGAGTTGAAAGAAATCTATCATTCCCATCTCTCTTCTAAATGAAGACTATCAGAAAAGGAAAATTGTAGAGAACTTCATGTGAGATACCCTGAGAACTGGAAAAATGGCAACTTCCATGGATGGCTGTGCTTCAAAAACTGAAGAACAAAAACTCGAGAGGTTTAGAGACAATAGTGAACTTGCAATCTCTGAATGTTATCTGGAACACAACCCCCACTCCCTTTAAGTTATAATTTAAAGAGCCTGGTAGAAACATTCTTAAAATTATACTTTCCCCACCCCCCCCAAAATAAAGCCTAGAAATTTTATTGTCTTCCCACATTTCTATTGCAAGGGAAAAAATGTAAGGGAAAATTTGTCTTATAGAGAGGTTCAGATTACATATAGTTCACCTATTTTAAACAAGAGGATTTATATAATCCAAGTTAAGGAGTGTACTGTGCACTTCTTAGGTACGTGTACATTCTTCCTGATATATGCACATCCTCCCCACTGCCCAGACAAAAAATGTCCTAAGGCTACCTCTTCAGACAGTAAGGTACTTGCTGACAGCTCTGGGCTTTGAGACAAATTAAAAGAAGCCAATTTTTCAGTCTGTAGGTCTAATAAAGCTTCTGGCTTTCAGTTCTGTCAATGACTATGAATAAAATTCCCTGAAAAGAGAGAAGACAGGCTGTTTAGTTTTCTGATGAGGGTGATTTTAAGGTGAAGATCAATCCTACAGTTCCTATTTCAGCTCTCATCAATGAGAAGCTCCTGTCATTAGAGAAGCAGGAACAAAAAGTTTTCAAGTCCTACTTCTTCATTTTGACTGCTCAACTCTCTTTCCACTACCACCCTCTGAAATGAGTCCTACTTGAGGATGTGATGGGGGTCAAAACTTACATAGGGCAGTTGTTTGGTCTTTCAGAGTTTACCTCGGTGACACCAATGTATAGTTGTAAAAATGTCAAATATTCTTTTACAAACGCTGTGTTTGTTTTGATCAGAGCTTCAAAATATGCCTTCAAGTTAATGTTCTCACAATGATGTGCATCTTCATTCCTTTGCCAGCCATGTATTCATGTCTGAATGCTTCTTTGTTTTGAAAGATGTTGTTATGTCATCAGTCAAAGAATCCTGTAAGCAGCAGCATCTACACTGTATTTGGAGACCAGAAAATTAATTGAGAAAAAGATTTTACCTTTGTGGCACTAGAAATATTTACACTACTATTTTATATTATGACATTTTTGAGATACAATGGACTAACAAGATCTGCAAATATCTGATTACTTTTTTGTTCCCTAAAAAAGAAAAAAAAAAAAAATTCTGGAATTTCCCTTTTCCTTTTCTGTCTGTGATATACATGAGAAATTATGTGGTTTATTTTCTTATTAGTTAAGGAGTCCTCTTTGCAGGCAATGCTGTCCAACAAAAAGGTGAGGAATTGGCCACCCATCCTCTGACCTCTAAGAGATATGTTTGTATTATTATTTTAGGCTGGATCGCAAATATACTGGAGGAAATTTACCAGTCATTCCCACATAGCACGCTTTTGTTTATAGGGAAATCTTAGAGCACATGAACTATGTTCTTCTTGGATGAAGCAAATCAAAGTTTTGAAAGGTGTCTGAGGTAATCCCTGAAACGTGCAGTATGAATATCAAGGTTTCAATGATTCACCCTAAAAACCTGCTCCTGTAGTTCTTGATAGGCAGAGAGAGAAAGCCAATCTGCACTATGCAGTTGTACCCTGAATACGTAGGTTTGCACACAGACCAAGTGGGAAACCTTGTGGAAAATAAACTTAAATAATTATGGTGGAAAAGTAGCAGAATTATTTAGGATGTAATGTAAAAGACAAAAAGATTCAACTTTGCTTCGTAACTGTAAAAGGCAATGTTTTTATGCTAACTTTAATCAGTGCTTTCCTATCTTCATACTAAAGATACTGCATGAAGATACTGCTCTACATTCTGCACAGCTCTTTTGATTTCTGCAAACTCCTCCCCGAAAACTTTTTTCTGACTTTCCACTGGCTCTACAGAAAAGAGTAAAGGTCTCATTGTTAGATGTTCATCATCTTCACTGATCCAGTAACAAACTCCTGTATATCTAGATATCCATGAGATAAATTGTTGATTGTTTCTTTCTTCCTCCAAAACAATCTTTCTATAGTTTAAAAGGTTTGTGGTTTCAATGCAAACACGTACACACATATAAGGCCTCAAAATGGTTTTACGCACTGAAAAAAATTGTAGAAATTGCTGGGGACAACCCAACCAAGAAGAGTTTTTAAATTTTTATGTTTTTACAAGCCAATTTTCTTGTCAGAAAATTAATACATTTTAGTGTTTAGTCCTGTCCCTTGGTATAGAATTTTTATGAAGAGAAAAATCTTCCCACCAACTCTACTTCTGAGAGAATTTCTTTTTTGGGGAAATACCCATATTCAAAAAGCATGAATGTAAGTTCATATGTCTGAAAAAATTAAGGCCATATTTATATACTTGATTTTGTCATTAATTATCTCATCTAATGGGGTTAGGTCTTCAATATATTACAATTTGTTGCTAATGACTCCATACATTTATGGAGCTTCATAAATTGTTTTTAAGCAAAGTGGGCTTGAATAATTCAAGCATTGCCATGAATGTTAGTGCTTGAAAGATCAGTAAAAGCATCTGTCTTAAACAAATGGTCAGTGGACACCAAATTTGTTGCAATTTGTGTTGATCTAAAAATAAAAGAAAAATGGATTGCAGCTTAATTTAAAAAAAAATAAAATTAATGCTTTCATTTCAGTTATATACTCTCTCTTGTTTCATTGTCCCATAGGACTTTGAAATAATGATTTATTTTCATTGCACTATTTTGACCTAAGAGTAGCCTCTGTCATATATCACAGCCTCTGTGGGTGTAGGAAAGCTCAGGAAGCTGGCTTACCCAAAGTCATGCATCTCACCAGATACCAGTGGTAGAAACAGTTGCTGCTTGGACATCATGTGCTCCAAATCGCATTAAATAATGCTTCTTTTAATGAGTGGTTATATTGACGTGTCATTCTACATAACCTAGAATAAAAAAGGAGAATTTCAGTTGGAAGGGGCCTAAAAGGATCATTTAGTACAACTGATTGATCAAATTGGGGCTGGCCAAAAACTAAAGCATATTTTTAGAGCATTGTCCAAATCCCTCTTAAACACAGACTGCCAGTCTATGAAGTCTGTTCCAGGGTTTTACCACCTTTCTGTTAAAGGAATTCTTCCTAATATCCACTCTAAACTTCCCTTGACACAACTTTGACCTGCTCCCATACATCCTACAGTTGGATACAAGGGAGATGAGATTAGCACCTCCCTCTTTACTTCCCCTCCTCAGGAAGATGCAGAAGGCAATGAAGCCATCCCTCCACATATTTTTTTCCAGTTAAGACTAGCCCAAAGTTCTTAGCCATTCCTCATAGGACATTCCTTGTGGCCTGCTCACCAGCTTGTTGGTTTCCTCTGGATGGATTCCAGAACCTCCACATGCTTAAGTTGTAGGGCCCAGAACTGCCCACCATACTCCAGGTGAGGCTGCATCAATGGTGAATACAATGGGATAATCACCAGTTTTGACTGGCTGGTGATGCTGTTTGATGCATCCCTGGATGCAGTTTGCTCTCAGCTCCCAGGGAGCAGAGCTAGGTCCCACAGAGCCTGCTGTGAGCAGCAACCTTGAACCCTTTTCTGCAGCTTGCTCTCCAGCCATTCTTCCAAATAATTTACTCCATCCCAGTTCCAAGTCCAGTATTTAGACTTGTTCAATATAATCCTTTTAATCATAGCCCAGTGCTCTGGTCTATCAAGATTCCTCGTCTTATCAGAGGACATCAAATTAATTAAACACTTTTCCTTTGTGAGCCCATATTGATTGTGCCTGATGATCACATTATTTTTTAAATACCTTCCAGTAGTATCAGGTATAATATTATACAGATTTTTTTTCCAGAAATTGAGGCTAGACTAATAGATCTGTAATTCCTTGGGTCTGTCCTCATACCCTTTTATATATGGGAACAACACTGATCAGTTTCCAGTCAGTAAGGACCACTCCAGGCTCCCAAGACCTCTGGTAGATGATTGGAAGGGGTCCTGCTATGGTATCTGCCAGTGCCTTAAGAACTCTGATTAGTTCTGGTTCATGAACATGAAAGAAACACTACACAGACACTTCTGGATTACCCTGGAACTGTTGGCTTTCCTGTGGGAATAATCCATGTCCCATAAGACCAAAATAATTTATTCATCTCCCAGCTCTGTCAGTCATTGAGTACTGACATATTTTGGTAGAAAACTGTCACAGGCTCCTACAGCTCAACAGCTGAGATGGGAAGGCCTACTTCCTGGGCTGGAAAGTGACATTTCTTTGCATGGAACAGTGCCCTTTGATCAAGGGTTTCTCTTTGTTTTTTCTTCTCTCTTCTCTGTGGCATGATCAGCTGATTGAAGGTGAAGCAGAGCAAAGTATATGGTTTTGACACTAGTTTTAGACTGAGAACCTCAGTGTGCTGTGTGACCAGAGAAATTGTGGGTGTCACCTTCCTGGAAGGGTTCATGTCCAGGTTGGATGTGATTCTGAGCAAGCTGGTTGATTGGAAGGTGCCCCTGTCCATGACACTGGGCTTGGTATTAGATGATACATAAGGTCCCTTCCAATCCACATCATTCTATGATTCTGTATGTTTTTCTGTGTGGGCGCTGACACCCCAGAAGGAAGCCCAGCAGGATGGTTCTTCCAGGAAAGAAATCACTCTGCCTATTGTATATTATTACTGCCATCCTATAAAGGAATTTTTGCAATGTTATCTCAGACTTCAACCTCATCTTCATTTCTGGTGAAAAATGAACTTGAGTTCAAAAAGTACAAAGTAATTCCTGTTTAGTTTTATCTGGCTTAAGTATTCCAATATCACCACTGAAAAGGATATCACCATGATGAGATGAGAATGTGGATTTCAGAATAATCCAAGATTTTCTTCCCTGTTGCCTGTAGTCATTTGAAATCAGAGACCTCTAGAACAAAGAGATGATTTGGGGTCATATTCAGGACTTTGGGAATAAAATGTGCAACACTGACATGTGCCTTGCCTCAAGATGCAGCACAGGTACTGAGGACAAGGGGTGACTTTTCAGTTAATCTTGCATGCACACACAGAGAACAAGACAGGCAATGCAAAACCTCTCTCATGAAGAGAAAACATTGACAGTAATGGGGATAGAAAAGAAAATTAAGTCTTCCCAGGAAATGAAATCTATCTGTTTGTGAAGAAAGAACAAATCCCACTTCTCCATCACAACTTCTACGATTTAAGTGTGTATGTGGTATAAATATGATATATGTATACAGAAAAGGTATATTTAAATTTTTAAATATGTGTATATGTGTGTGCACATATAGTAAAAGTCATGATGGAGAAGTGAGATTTGTTCTTTCTTCCCAAATAAACATATATATATATGGTAAAATAAAATAATTCTGAAATGTTAGCGCTGACTGGAATGAAGAGGGAGAAGGAGAAGTAATATATCTTCTATATATGTTTTATAATACTGGGGGTTACTCAGGCTGGAGTGATAGGGGTTGTATAAGATGTGGCACCAATAAATAAATTATAGTTTTGCATAAAAAAGATGGGAATTTGGAATACACTGTTAGAGTAGTTTGGGAATCACTGAACAATTTCAGTGAGTTGCTTTATGCCCAACCACTGGAGCCATCTGTCAGTTAAATGACAGCTCTTCTGGTAAACATAAATGATGTTTCTATTGCAAATGTATGTGCCAACAATGAAAGTAGATGCCTTCAACAGAAATAGATTGTACCCTCTCTAAATTCATATAACTCATGGCCCTATTATCATTGCAGGGAAAAAATACCTATCACATTTTAAGACTTACATGGCAGTATTACTTATTTGTGCAATTGTTTATCACTTCAGTCTTTTCAAAAAGTGATATAGTGATTAAAGTGATCATATCTTCAAACTCACAAACTATTAAAACTTTTACTCTTTGATGAAAAAATGTATCTATGAGCTCATCCTGAAAACAAAGTATGGAGATAATCCATTATTTAAAATATAATGTATGAATATATTTTTCATTCTTATTCTATTCATTAGCCCATTAACTTTTTAACTTGCCTTGAGTAGCACCAGTAACATTTCAATGCACTTGGTCACTCTTGAGTTCCAGGTTCTAATGATTTTTTATCATTATTACAACATTATTTGTAGTAAAATCAATTTGATAAATTATGTTGGATAATTGTTTTTTCACACAATATTTTTAAAGCAGCTTGTAATTTTACAAAGTATTTATCTGTAGTAATGAATCTTAAAAAAAAATCTTGAAACCCATTGTAATTTCATTGGTATTTTACAAAATACATTCACCTATGATTTTGCCACTCATTATTTATTCATACTGCTGTGTGAACAGTCACTGATACACTGTTGTTCTCTCAGATGAGAGACTTTGATAATAAGCAAGACCAAAAAGTGTTAAGTGTAGTTCTGAAGAGAGAGAAGGAATTTGTATCATAGAAGGCCAGCAAGGTTATGGATGCTTTTACAGTTACCTTTACTTGTCAGATCTTGCTTTACTACCAGTAAAATAATCTACTATGACCTGATATCTGGTTGGTTTTTTCCTTATTACTGCCACTTGGTAGGTTTCCAGGGTTTAATTGCTATCAATTAATTGATAGCAATTGTTAGGAAATCTCTCTGTATGAAACCAGATATTCATATGACCTTTTCCAAAGCCTGATTGATAAATTTAAAGAAAACAGTAAAATGATCTTAGAGGCCAGTACTGCACACTTGTAACAAGGCATTGCCTTCATGGCAGTGACTGAGCGTGAGTGGTGCCAGTCACTGTTGAATTCCAGGGAGGTGTGCCACATCACAGCTGGTGGTGAGCCAGTATTTGTTACTCACCTGCAATCAATCCCAGTACTTCCCAAGCTGCTTCACTGTTTAACACTCTGTACATTAAAGTACAGATTCTTGAGGTAAAATGAGGCACTCACATGCCATTTTGAGAGTAAATCCAGTGTGGGAGAGCACTGCCAATAATGACACTCAGGCCTGATCCTAAAAGCAAAGAAAACTGAATATTCTGTCTCTGGATATATCCATCTGTATAAGCCTTGGCACTTTCATGCTGTACTGGTCCCCTTCTTTCACCTTCCTAGACACCTCCTAGGCCCTTGTGGGAGGCATAAAAGAAGAATTTCTTTGCTTGAAGTGCTTGAGTACCCAGCTAAGCCTCTGGCCCCACCACATCCACAGACATGAGGAAGAACTTTTCTTCCTTTTCCTCTCACCACAGTTTTGCTGTATGGAGGCTGTCCTGTTGCAGAGGATCCTGTTTTGTCAGAAAACAGATGAAGATGGATATATAGATGAATGGTTAGGAAACTCAGGTAGAAGGCAGTACTAGCTCCTTCTTTGTGTTGAAAGAGTGTTTGTTTTATTCAAAGGGAAATAGCTTAACAAGAAGACTGAGAGCTTCCAGCTCCAGAATACTGTTGTTTGCTGATGAAGGCATTCCTCATGCGGGTGGGAAGCATGGATTACTCTCCCTCGGGCAGACAGCAGGGGAATTTAACTCAGTGCTGTTAATGCTCCAATCACTCAGGAGCTGGTCCCAAAGGATAGCAAGTCTTTTAAGTATCTGAGCCAAATTTAATACCTATAAGAGGAAAAAAGACACCACCATGGACCAAGACTTTCTGTTTTTCTGATAAATAGTGTTGAAATCATTGCCTACAGAAGAAGCAGCTAGGTTAGAGATTGTGGGTGATTGAAATGTCAGTCTTCCTAAATCCACATTTATTCTGGAATTTAATGCTAACCTTTTTTCACTTTTCCTTCTTTTAAGAGGCACATAGGATTTGACAACGTGGTTTGGACCCATCTTCACCTCCACCTTTGAAGCATTGCCATTTTTAATAGGTCTTAAATATACAGACTGAAGGAGAATTCTTATGTTATACATCCCAATTATCTGTTCTAGTTCACTTCCACTTGTTTGTTTCCCACAAAGCAGGGCTGTGAACTTGGTTAGCCTTTCACCTTTTTTTCTCTATGACCATGATGGTCTACAGCAGGTACATGGAAACTGAAGAGGGGAAGCATGGGATACTCTCATTTGTTATTTAATTATAAACTTGACATTACAAATCATGCAAAATTAAAATCTCCAGCTTTTTCTTGCCCCAGTTATTTTGAGAACATTCTCTTCAGGGTTTTAACAGCCCTTTGCCATAGGTGGCAGAAACGCATGCTCTTTCCAGCTGATGAAATATGCTCATTTTTGACTATGGCCTTCATTTTATCTATCACCCCACTCCAGTAGAGAGAAAGTCACCACCTCTAGTTGGATGAGTTTCAGAGAAGGCACTGTGTGCAGGAGTGTTTCACATCTGAAATATGGCTGTAACAGATATGGGAAGTCCAGGCCAGGAAGGAGCATGGCTACCCAGACATCCTCTAATCTTACATTTAGAGAATTATAGAATGGCTTGGTTTGAAAGGGACTTTATCATCCAGTTCCAACCCTCCTGCCATGGGCAGGGACAGACGCCACTAGACTGGGTTGTGAACAGTGCCAGGGATGGGGCATCCACAGCTTCTCTGGGCAACTGGTCCCAGTTCCTCACCCCCCTCACATTTGCTATGGTTAAGTCTAGGGCAACCCTAGTTCAGGCACTGGGAGGTGTCACCTCCAGAGGAATCAAAAAGTAAGGTAAGGTAAGAACAGGAAGAACATTTGACTCTGGTAGGAGTGTGGTTTCCAATTATATAATTGCATTTATAAAAGTGCTAACACTGCAAACTGCCGTAATTTAGTTTCTACTAATTTGACCTTCCTTTTGGACTTTGCCAGAAGGCTTGATTCATTAAAGCTCATTGAGTTATTAGAGATATTTGGTTGAAAATTACTTCAGGAATAAAAAGCAGTCATGGCAGGCTGAATCATTACTTCAGAAGTGAACCTTAGCAGCTCAGAGGCGATAATGTTGACTCAGATTTCAACCCACTTCTATCCATAAGTGTGCATGTTAAACTTCTGTGCTGTAGGAAGTAGAAATGTCTTGTATTTTTTTCATTTGGTTAAATCTGAAGATATTTTTGATGCCTAAACTATTTTCTCTTCCTACCTAAATTAAATTTTGACTGCAGTAGTTTACCATAAACTGAGAATAATGCCTTGTACTTTCTTAAGTCATTAGACTCAAAGATTGCTCTACAAGAATGATTAAATGATTAAATGACAAGAATGATTTAAGCTTTCATAAACATTTACTTTAGCACCTCACTTAAAAATATCTAAGCATTCAATTGTATCAGTACATGCAGCTCTGTGCTCTTATTAAATCAAGTGTGTCATCTTGTGCTCCTGCCACCTTAGAGACACAGGAGGCAGTGCTCTGGAATTGTCAAGGGACAGGAGAATGTGGCCATTATATTTTATACAACATGCTAAATGATTAATATTTGTAAATTAATGCATTTAAATTGTATGTGCATGAGACACTCAAAGCCTTGCAAATATATATGAGAGGCTCGTTTGAAAAAAACCACACCTGACAACTCCTCTTTTCCTACTGGATTCTATTTGGGCTAGTCAAGCGAAAAAGCAAGAGTGGCATGTAAGAATCATAATACACAAGGCATAGAGTATTTCTGAGCAATTATAACATGCCTAGGAAGGTGTTGCAAGGCATAAGGCTGAAAGGCCAAATGACTTTACCCACTTGAGAAATGCAATAATTCCCTGGAAATGCACTGCCTGGAGTATATTATTACTGTTATGAAGTAGAATTCATGAATAGAAAGAAGGAAAATGGTGAGGAGGGGGACAGGCCTATCCATGCATGTACTGGCTAGTATTAAAGTGGGTATGACATCAGTCACAGCCAATCAAACAGGCTCAGTAATGTCCAAAGTACTGCAGACATTTCATAATTAAGTAATAAGACATGACAGGGCATGAATTGTGTTGTATTAATTCTCGCCAAGCGTGTTGTCAGAAGCCAAGAGGATGAGGGCTGGGTGCCATCGGTCCAGCCAACTGTGAATTAATCCTTTCCCATTCTCACAATGGAACCTCTTATTGTGGTTTTATGAAATGTTAAATTTTAAAATATTTATATTGTTAATTAAGTGATGAGTTTCTAAGCCATGATGGCAATCAGCACAATTCTTTCTGTAATTCTGAGCAGTGAATTGTGCTCTCTGCTACTCCCTACTCACATCTCCACACTCAGTCAAACCAGCTGTTTTCTATTGTCCGTTTGCTAATGTATTCTAATACCCTGCCTCCTAATGCCTACTCTCATATTTGCATTCATTTGCATATAAGAAGCATCTAGATATGCCAGTAATGGTTAGTGAAGTCCTTTGAGTATATAAAGTGCTATGGAAGTGCTAAATACGGCTTTTGTTTACTATTCATAGAAAACACTGATGTAGTGGGGGGTATTGTGGATGTCCCTTGTCACTCAGAACTTTGTTCCATACATTGTGATTGGAAGCAGTGAGTTTTAAAACTAAAAATAATGCTTTTGGGTTTTGTGCCTTTGTGAAATTAGGACATCTATTTTTCTTTGTTACGACATGACTCTCAGTCAGATCCCACTTACTAAGGTTATCCATTTTCTATAGTATTTTATGTGGTACTCTACAATGCTCTTTAATTTAGTATAAACCATTTTCTTTGGTGACTGAGGCTGGCTTGGGACCTAGTGCTGGTGTTTTACATCTCCAGTAAATGTTTTTGCTTTGATCTCAATAGGAGCCACTTCACACTTTCTAGGCTCATGGAATCTACATTTCTGAACAGACTGGAGAAGATTTATCACCAGAGGCATCCTGAAAAGTACATCATGTTTTGCTATATAAAATCATGAAGGTAGATGCCTAGGCAAGCAAGAAAATCCACCTGGGCATTTGTCTGTGATTGCTGTTCTGCTATTATAGTTAGAAATGCTCAGTAACACATAAAAGTCCCTGAAGTGCTACTGAAATGACAGAGATGGTTCTGTGACATTCATGAGCGGGGCAGGGTGTCAATATGACCTACCAAATGTCCACACCAGGACTGTCAGGGCCAGAGAATACTGAAGAAAACTTGAACTTCTGCAAAGAAATTGCAGAGATGAATGCCAAGACACTTATTTTGTAGATCAATATGAAGACAGAAATGTCTAAGTAATATCACTGGGACAGGCACGAAAATCCTGCACTGGCTGGTAGATAGATAGCATGCTTTTCTGGACCCCAATACCAGTTACTTTATTTTGTGAGCAAAGATATGAAAAAGTTTCTTTGGTAAACATTAAGCAGGCACACGCTATTTAAAAATGTTAATAGAAATAGCACTTCTCCATGACATTCCTTCCCAAGTCCTTCGTACATTTAACTCTTCTCTGATGCTCTGTTGTTTTGGGAGAGAACAGTTACTTCATGTAATAACCCAAACACAAAATTGAAAATTGAAACAACTAAAGGGATCACCCATATTTGAAACTCCCACTGTAACCACAGGTAGAAAAACTATAATTACCAGGAGTGACATTGTTATTATCATCCCAGGATTTGAGCCAGATCACTTATCAAAGGTGTTCCTGCAAGCAAAAGAAAAAAAAATTCTTATTGTATGGTATATTCATGCACTTGACATTCAGTCACTGAGTCCTAGCATTTTAAAAAGTCTAGGTTTATTCCTGCCTTAACAGAAAAATGCTTTCTTTTTCACCTAGATGCACACACATTTAACTTTTTTCCAAAATCAAAAGATTATTCAAATTTTAAAAGTGTCTCATTCTGAAGGGCATTGAGAGATGTCCTTGGTGTAAGAAACACAGCAACGGCCAGGTAGCAGTTCAATAAATATGTCACATTGAAAATTATATGATACAGTGTATATAAATGCATATAGAGATCCATATACAACCCAAAAGATATATGTACAATGTTACTAAGATATATTACACTAAACTATTTGAGTAGCTCTTCTCAGACCACCACTCTGCTGGACCCACCTTCATCCACTCACTTTGCAAGGACATGAAGTAGTTTTGTCTTGAAGCAGGCAGTCATGAATCTAGGCAGTGTGGAATTTCTCTGTAAAAGGAAGCAAAATATTACTTTTGAGTATTTTGACTCAATTATATAATTTTGAATATTGAGTGGTCTGGAATCTCCCTGCATCTGGATGGCACCTACTGGTCCCCTTCTCTGATGTGTATTTTAGTATGCCTTTTGTGACTAAGGCTTGAGCACACTGCCAGTGTATGCAGGGTCATTCTGGTCCAAACATTTTAATTTCCATCATTTACCCCTCTGGGCAAATGAAGTCAGGCTGATGCCTTGGCATCTGGAATAGTGGACACAAGTTATATTTTAACTGTGAATTATTTTATGTGTAGCATCAAAACACTTTTCAGTAATGGCCATGCAGTAAATTATTTAAGCAAATAAATTAAATAAAATGAAGGAATTTGTATATATACGTGAGACCAGAGTTCCAGACTAATGTGTACCTACTGTATATGCACTTTGTTTTGATCTATGGTTCCTCAGTCCTTTAAGCTTCCCCTCCCTTGCTTTTCATCAGATTTTCTGGGAAGGTAAATGACTGTTAAGGAAAAGAGCACTATTTATTTGGTTTTTTGGGTTTTTTTTGTTATAGATTTGTGCTAAGTTGAATGGTTATCAAACAGTATCTGATTTGGCTTACAATCAAGTGCTTGATAAACTTTTACTATTCCTGTGGAAACAGTGCTTTAGAAATATGTCTTTTCTGTTCAGTTTCTTCTTGATCAGAACACAAAGTAAACATATTCCACTCCTTAGTGATTCTTGCAATTCACAGCTCAAGTCTGTTTCACATATGTGGGTATTTAGTGCCACTTAAAACACACTTGGTTTCAGCTTCCTGGGGAATGATTCAAAAGGCTAAACATAGGTGCCTAATACCATTTAAATGCCTGAGGATATCCTGCCTGGCATCCAGCTGCAGCTTCAGCAGGGCTCTGGTTTCCCACAGATCTTGTGTTGTCTCTCTCAGGCTCATGCAGACGCTGTGAATACCCCAGGATGTTTAAAACTGTAGGGAATGACGGTGCTGATGCACCTGCGCTGCTCCTCCTCATCCTCCCTGCTCTCTGCAAGCATTCCCGGAGCAGGCAGCACAGGTTTATCTTTCTGTGTTTCTAAATGCCCCATGTAGGGGCAAGCCACGAATCATCAGGAGTGTTTGAATAGTCATGAATATTTACATCCTTCTACCCATTGTACAATAAAACATGAAGCCTCATATTCTCCTTTCTTAAACAATCAAAACATACTTGTAGATCAAATTTAATGCATATATTTTTTCCGTTTGAATACATCTTGATTAAAAGTTCATGACCTTGATTATATTATGCAATTTGAAAAATCGCCAACAATGTCCATGGTGATTAAATATTCCACTTTGTAATTATTTTGTAACTTTTGTTCTGCTCTTTGCTCACTCCAAAAATTATCATAAAATTTTGAAAGATGTCCTCAGTGCAGAATATGTCCATAAAATATTAAATATTCAATTTTCCTCTATCATGGCTTGAAAAATTCATAATTACATGATGATCCACATAATAACTCATTCTGAAAAGTCATATATGGCACTCCCCCTGTGACTGAGTTAATAATTTACTGCTGTGTGGGATTTTCACTCTGCACTGTTAGTCTTGGGAACATTTATTAAGCAAATGTTCATTTGCAAAGATCAGAATGTGAATGAAGAGGGTAAGAATTTAATGAGGAGTGACAGACAGGTGAACTGATTCCATATAGTTCTTTACTACAGGAGAAAGCAGATAGCTTTATCTTTCATAGCCTCGATAGACACATGAAATGAAATATAGAAGACAGGGGGCAAAAGGGAAAAAAGGCACTTTCCTAGAAGGGCCAACAGAAGGATAAATCAGTGGAACTCATGAACGTGATTCAGACCAGTTGAAATGGCTGATCTTAGTCTGTGTCTTTGGACTTACACAGAATTGATATTTAGACTTTTTATTTTTAAGATACTTGCACATTTTTTCAATAGAGTACTTCTAGCACTAAAAGAAAAAGAAAGCAAGACAAGTTTAAATTCTGGTTTCAAACTGCATTCTAGTTTATGGCTAACCTTTATAATTTTCAGATGTAAGAAACCAATATAATATGAGATCAGGTGTCACAACTTTGTCTACTTTTTTTTTTTTTTTTTCAGTAAATTTAACAGTGTAGCTTCCTTCTATGATTTTTGGGTGTTGTCTCACCAAACGTAGGTTAAATGTTGATCCTGGGTTTTGTTTGCAAAATAAATTCAAGAAAAGAAATGAAATGTCACAGAATGATTTTACATAATCAATTTAGAGTTCAGTTTTGCAAAATACTGAGCATGCTGCTCCTGATAATGCAAAAAATGAATACATTTATTCAAGACTTTTAAAATAATCTGTTGTTTCAAGGTAGGTGAGTACAAATTTAGGTATTTTACTGACTAAGGGACACTTCATTAAATCTGAGATAACTTAAACAATACTCAATCTATTGTCACTGGGTATGTAAGGATATAACATAAACCTATACTTCCAAAAGATGCTTAAATATAATGTCCCAAAGATTAAAATTTGTAATATTTTATATATAGGAAAAAAATATATATTTGACACAAAACTGCATTTCCAGTTTACTTTATTTACTTTTATTTCTCCATGGATGTATTTTTCAGTAGACTTTTCTTCTCCATAAAAGTTTAAATTTACTAAAATATTATTGTTCAGACTTTAGAGTCCTGAAATATAATTTCTGACAAGTGAAACATTTATTTCTAAGATAATTTCCAAGATAAAAACAACTCTCATAAAGATAAGAATTATTTTTTGGGTGTGTTATATTTCTTTTTTTAATTTTTTTGGGGCCATGGTAAGTGATTGTATAATCAGTGATTCACACTGTATTTGTACTTTTGGAAACTGAAGTAGTACCTCAAAGATGTAGGGAAAAAATTGACCCAAAACATAATTTTCTGGAAAAAACTGCAAAGATCAATTTTGTTTAAAAGCTACACATTTTAAAAGAGAATTTCCAGTTACTGTCAGAATCATTTTCCTGGCTATAATGGCTTCAGCTGAGGATGTTCAGATTTGTTGGCATTTGACTTGAATACAGCTTTCCATTTTCAGAGGTTTTTCCCTGGATATGCTGGAAATGAGACAGGACTTTGGCCTACATTTCTGATGGGGAATACTGATTTCCACCTTTATTAGTGGACAGTTATCTGACAAACTTAAAAATGAGCAGACACACACAAGAAAGATGCAGTGCAAAGAGTTTGAACAGGGATATCATAAAGGGAGAATGAGGTGACATTGAGAACTGAAGGAAAAAAAATCAGATAAAATTTAATCACACAGACTAAAGATGTATAAGGAGAATTTTTCCTAGAGCTTATTCACTAGGTATGACAGAGATAGGAAAGACCTAATCACTGATTGCAAGAAAAGAAACCAAAGACAGATGTATACCATTACAGTCAACTGAGAGAAATAGGCAGCACTTTTATGGCATAGTCCATTTGACTCTGAAATAGAATTTTGGCAAGATTAGTGATCCCTCAGTGTCTGCTTCTGTAAATTGACCAGAACAGAACCCTATGTTGCCTACTTAGATATATCTGTGTGAGATTAATTTCATCTGAGGGAACTATGAGCTGCAAAGATGATGTGGCCATGAAAAAAAGTGCAGTCCTTAGGTATGTCTGTTGTGGTATTCCTCAAAACAGATAAAAGGGCAGCAATGCCTTTGTACAAAAGGTAAGTTAAATTTTGTGTGCAGTAGTCTGAGCTGCTTTCATTATCCATTTTCTGGAAAGTGTAAGTTCAGACTGGAAGGGGTGTAACAAAGAGTAGCTATGGCAGAGGCAAGCCTACTTTGTATTACTTTTGGGGTCCACTAGAGGCTAGCCAACAATTTTTAAATGGAAGCATAACATTTCCTCAAAAATGTCATCACCCTAATTTCAGCAAAGAAAAAGTAGATAAGAAGGGAAACAAGAATTCCAGCCCTGTTTGGGGGGAACCCCCACTCCTTGAAGTGAGGTCCTGGTGGGAGGTGACTGGTGGTAATCTCAATTCTTCTTCCACCTTGCTCCTAGGTCCAGCTGTCATTGGGGTTGCATCGTATCACGAGTAACAACATTCCTTGTTTCCCGAATCATATTACTTCCCAGCCAGGAAATTCTAACCTCTCTTATGCTGCGATCCCTCTCTTGTCTTACAGAGCTTATCCACATTATCACTCCTAGGTCAAATGGCTTGTCCTGAATTTGTAATCCTAAAATGTTTCATAGGAAAAAACCCCAAAACACATTCATAAAGAAACAAAATTGGCTGAAAAAGAGTAGTGGGTAGAAGCTGTACAAAACGATTTTTTGATGTCATGGACACCTAGTAATGGGACTCATTGATCCACATGTCCTCATCCAGATCAATTTCTTCAGTATTTGTTTAAAAATTTGCTCTTACATATAAATATATTTTTAAGCATCACTTAAAATGAATGAGACATTGAAGCAGACAAGCTTGTTGCAAGTATCTGGGATTAAAGAAGATCGCCAGCATTAAACAAAATATATACAATTTAATTTTCTGATAGCTTTGATTGGGAAATATTAAAAAAAAATAAAAAAATAATAGCTTGAATCTTATGTATTTCATTTGAAGACTTTACACTTACTTGCTTGAAGAGACATCTCCAGACAGCAAGCCCCTTCTCCTCAGCTGTTTGCATCTAAGAAGGTTAAATCTAGCTGAGTATTGTAGTTTATGTATTTTGAAATAATTTTAGTTATTTGCACTAGATGTATTTTCAATGCTACATTATTGAAAATAGATTGTTCTGTGCAGGGCCAGGAGTTGGACTTTGATGATATCTTGTGAGGTCTCCCAATTCAGGATATGCTATGATTTATTGATTTATTTATTTATTTATTTAATGATTTTATTTTTTTTTTCCCTCACAAGATAGCAATGGGAAAGGAGAAAAATATGTGTTTGATCCTGAAATTTGACATAGAGAATTTTTTTGAAATAGAGCAAGCACTCACTCTTCTCTCCTGTGCAGACTGGTAGCAGTAGGAACTTCCAGCTCCTGTGTGAGCTCTGAGCACTGGTTTCTGCAATGGGAACTACATTCAGACCAGCTGGGCATCCTGTCTCCTGAATTATACAAATTGTACTATTCCATGGTTGAGGTAAGTCAGTTTTGCCACAAGGCTGGGGATTCAGCTCTTTTCTGCTGAGTCTAGGTGTCTACATGAAGATGTTAGCCTGGCCTGCGAGTTTAGTGTTGGCTCCCATGACAGCCAGAGGACATTCAGTGCTGGATTCAGCTGCCTGAATAGAGGAGTTTACTACCAGGTAGGCCCATGGTAGGCTTGCAACTTCCTGGATCAGCAGCTGAAGGCCATGCAATCTATATCTGCCCTGCAAAGCCCCTCTCCAGGCTTTATCAATTGCACAGATTAGACTTCCATGCTTAGCTCACAATTCGCCTACACAGACTACTAAATGCAGAGCTCTTAATTTCAACCTTGCCCCTCACATCTACTTCAGCTGCTTCAATATAGGCATCTAAGTAAAGATATTTCAAGCTGGCTTCCAATGGCTGTAACTATTGATAGTTACAGCCATTGGATATTCTATTTGGTCTTCAGATTCCACTTGGCATGTTTCAAGGTCTGCCATAAATTGTGTGTCAGGTTTACTATCTCACTGCAAGTGACTTAAGGTTTTGTATCTCAGGCTGTGTAAGGTGGCAAAGAGTTTCTGTGAAGTGACAAAAAATTTCTATATTTACACAATTAAACCAAGCCCTGTTTCTTGGTATGTATTTGAGAAGAATGAGTGAATAAAATCTCTGAAGAGAGTTTAACTTGAATTTCAGGTGTCATAAACAATGAAAAAAAAGACTTGTAACATTTTCAAATATTTTCAATATTCTTTTTTGATTTGATTTTTTTACATCATTGTCATTAAAATAAAATATAATGATGAATGTTTTCTTTCTAGCTCCTGGCTTAAATGATACTCAGTAGGCTTTGTGTTTTGTCTGTAAAAACAAAACAAAACAAAACAAAATAAAACAAAACAAAACAAAACAAAAACAAAACAAAAGCCAGCATCTTCTCTAAACAGCTTTAAATTGCATCTTTCAAAAAGATGCTTCGTTATGCCATTTATGGACTCATGTAGTACAAAAGAAAAGGAATTGGTCAGATCTCCCCAGTAGGCACAAAACCTGTTCTGCTGCTTTTATCCCACCTTATAAACAGCTTAGCACTAAGAGTTCCTGCCAGAACTTAATGCTTTTGGCTTTCTGCATGTACTAGTGGATGGTGCCCTGGGACCAGAGTTCAAAACATCACTGCTGAGATTTAAAATCCACCAGGGTGAAAAGGGAAAAGTAAAATGTCAAGATTAGCATTTGGCAGCTCCAGTTATTTGTTAAATGTGAGAAAAAACAGGCAGAAGCAGGAGAAATAGGCTTGATGATTATATTGGGGTATTTGTTATTTTTATTGTGGCATTTTGCAATAGCATATATAAACAGAAGTTTGGTAGAGGTTTACTGAAAGTTTTGATTACCCCTTTTGTGTGTCTAAGAGTATCTGGAACTTGGACATAAGAATGAAACATGTCAAAACTCATTAGAATTAAAAAAACCCAACACACTACTGTTAATAGGGCAGTAAAAGCCATAAACTATGTATTATAAATAGGCTTGAAATGTTCATAACCTAGATAGCAGAACCATGTGTCAAATAAACTGCTCTTAAGTTAGTGAAGCCACAACGGAAATTGCCATGATGTTCTTCAGGTTAGGCCTTGACAGTGTCATGATTCCCTTAAAGCTATAATGATAATCAACATATAGGTATACTAAGGCTATTCTGGAGTACTTCATCAAGAGATTTAATTTACAAACACATGTGAAAACTACACAGCTGAAGGGAAAATACATTTAGCGAGAAGAACTGCATATTTCTGCAGAAAAGCCCCCTGACCTCCGCTCTGTAGTTTGTTCCCAGATAAAGAATCCACTATCAGTATGGGATATGCCAAACCTTTAGAAAGTTTATTCAATGATTAGTATTAATTCATGGTGTAGCTTTTTCTTTCTTAGATACTGTGTCACAGTATCTAATTTCTGAGAACTTTGAAAATTATCATGGGACTTTCAGACCAGGTAACTGAAGGACAAACGTCTGTCTAATTGGCATATCTTTATCACTGTTTTAATCTAAAAAGCTACAGACCAGATGATTTAAAATTACAATCCACTTTTGAGTTTATAACTCCCTTTATTTAAGAAATTAGTAGAATAAAATCACTGAGGTCTTAAATTACCTTGCCAAAAGTAGCTAAATAAAACATGTTATTAAATATAATAATAAAAGAAGGAAAAAACTCAAAAGTCATTTAGACCACATGGACACCACTAATGAAGAAGATGCTCTCAAATGTTTTCAATCACAGAATAAAAATATTCCATGACATAATGAAAAACTGTCAGTTCTAAAGTAAAGAAATTCTTCAAATTAGATTGCACTAAATGACTGTCTTTGGCAAGATAGATCTTGTCTTCCTTTGATCTTTTGATAGTGCCAACATACACTTTTGAGAGGTCTGGAAAAAAGCCCACAGAGGATCCTCACTTGCCAAAATCAGTAACATTCATTTCCATGTCTGAGAGACAGAAATGCTAGCTAATAAGACAAACATGCTCACTAGAGGATTGAGGAACACTAGTTTGTGCCTAGTTCAGTATACCAGAGTGACTGCTGAGGAATGATTCAGTCTGGTAAAACTCTGAGGTGTAGGACTGTCACACTTGTTTTCTGTATCTGCCAAATTCAGTAAGGTGCCATTATGCAAGTCAGCTCTGCCTGAGGGCTTGTCTATCTTGAACATTCAAATTTCCAAAACAATTCTATTGCTTTCTTTTGTGAGTCAGTACTTGTGTTCTATCTTTTCAATTTTACTTTTTTGTCTCATTCTTCATCTCCTTTTTGGCTTCTAACTCCTCTTTGGTACATGCAGATCCAAATGTGACTCAGAGCCAAATCCATGCCTTCAATTTATGAAAGGTAAGTTATGTGTTTTCCCTTTGCATATGAATACTTTTTTTTCTCTGTGCTAAGCAAGAAATAAATTTGTTTGTGAGGGAAAAATCTCTATCTTCCATATATCTTGACTGGTATGTTGGGGTTTAGAAGTCATGAGCAGGGTTCTGTCACGTTACCACAAATAAAAATAAAAATAAAAATAATAAAAATAAAAATAATAAAAATAAAAATAAAAATAAAAATAAAAATAAAAATAAAAATAAAAATAAAAATAAAAATAAAAATAAAAATAAAAATAAAAATAAAAATAAAGTGTGATTATATGGAAAACTTCCTTTACTACGAACATCACAAAATAAAACTTGATAGATATTCCAAACACCTGAGAACTAGTGGCCCACACAATGTCATTGAATTCACTTGTGCATATTTTTAAACAAGACAAGCTTAAGGACTTGACCACTTACTGTATTTTCAAAGAAACCTGTGCATAGTGCAACAATACTCCATTAATGAACATCTAGTTGGTACTTTTCCTTCTCCTTATACCACAACCACAGCTCAGAAGATAATCCAAATTTTCTTGTGGGCTTTCTTATGTTGCTTATCGACACATGGTAGCACACTTTGAAAATTTTTTTAATTTTTTATTTGCAATATTTATCAGAATTGAGAGATGTTTTATCAGTGGAGACATGATTAAACTTCCCAGTAATCTCAGATGACTAGGATCTTCTGTTTTAAACTTTAAGCCTTTTACCATGCTATATTTTATAAGCATAATGGTATTTAATTGTATCAGTGAATAATCAGATGTTACTTATATTGTGTTTCTTTCCTTTTCTCTTTTCCTTACTCCAGAACCTTTAATTCCTTCTTCATATTTTCACCCAAACTTCAGCATCCTGTTCTCCCTTTCCTCAGTTTCTTTTCTTTGTCACTTTCCCTGGCTGAATCTGGGAGTGCTGGCTCCTTCTCAGATGTGCTCCCACACTCCTTTTGTTCCACTCATTGTCCCCAGTTTGTCAGCTTCCACCTACCTCCAGCTCTCAGCCAACCTGGTCACACACATCCCTTTGTTTTGACACTTTGGTTTCCTGTAAATGTCTACATGTTTTTCCTGAACAACTTCAGCTTCACTTGTCCAGCTCTTGAGTAAATTTGCAAAGCAGTTCTTTATAACCTCTGCATCCTTTGTTTGGTGTATGTTAGTAGAGCTTGCCGCACTGGTAGGAGGTCTTCAAACAAACTCTGAAGACGTATGAGCTGGGAATTTTTACTGCAGCTTTCCAGAAGTTTATAAAATGCCCAGATGGGAATAGATGCTCACAAAGGCAGCCAAAGCTCATTAACATTGCCTAAAACATGTAACTTTCCTAGCTGTGCTTTTAGAAACTCTTAAAGCCCTCAGCGAAAAAAAAAAAAAAGCAACCAGCCAGCCAAAAATCAACACAACTCTGGGCTCAGTCTAAATCTGTTCACTCTTTACCAACACATTAGGCTATACAGTGAGTGAACAGTGAAATACTCACAAATGTTTTGCTAAAAACGAATGAGCCTTTGCAAGAAATGTGAAGTAAATTTCCCATTTTAGGCTCAACCGTCCATGACTACAATCACTGTTAGATCCCAGCTCAGGGATTAAAATTCGGAAAAACTGTGAGTCTAGAGTGGGAGAAAGAATAGAATAGAATAGAATAGAATAGAATAGAATAGAATAGAATAGAATAGAATAGAATAGAATAGAATAGAATAGAACAGAACAGAATAGAATAGAATAGAATAGAATAGAATAGAATAGAATAGAATAGAATAGAATAGAATAGAATAGAATAGAATAGAATAGAATAGAATAGAATAGGAGTAGAACAGAACAGAACCGAACAGTTAGCCTGGAAAGTTCTTACAGCAATCATTTGTTTCAACTGCAATTAGATTTGTTGGAGGAACTGTTGGACTGAGATCTCAAGGACAACAAGAAGATATGAGGACAATATTATCTGGTTGTTTTATTGCAGAAAAGCACTGTACTCATCTCCCTTGCTGTGAACAGTCTCAGTGGCCACAGGGCTGCAATACAGGGACAACATGGCAAGGGGGAAATTGTGCTTTTATGTATTGTAGAGCTAACTTCCAGAGGGACTGGCATAAAATCCCTCACACTGTGTTTGACATTGCCGGCTGTTTTGAGAGGATGAACATCAAAACAAACCACATGAAGCATGTAGGTCAACAACCACATAAACTCCTTTTGTTCTAAGGACTAATTGAGACCTCCAAGGAGGTCATGGTCCAGGAGAGGACAGTTCTGTAGTGCTCTGTTGTCTCCAGAACTCCCTTGAGCATTTACTCAAGCTTGGCAATGAGGCCAGAATCAGATTCCCACTGTACAACAAACAGGGCTATTAAATGATTCATGGTTTATTGCAAGGATTCTCTTTTCAGGATTAATTCATTTTATGGCTAACAGCATATAAAACTGAACAAATAGTTTCACCATAGTAGGACAAAACATTTCTAGAGAACTAGAAGCAAGTTATAATGTACAGAAAATCAATGTATACATGTTGGTATAATGGGCTGATTAGGGATGCTATATTAAAATGCATATGCTGAAGAAGAAAGGGAAATAATTTATGTATGTCATTGAGGAAGTATATCTAGAACTTTCTAAGTATATTTATGTTATATTTTTCCATAGAGAGGTTTTATTAGCCACATTTACAAATTTATTATGCAGACAAAACAAAATAATTTCTGACACATTCTGTATTTGATTCAATTTTTACACACCCTTAATTTTATTTTGTTTTGCTCTGGAGTTTTGAAAAAATAGTTCCAATTGATACACGAATTCTAAATATTTAGCTTTTAGAAGGGAGACATATTGCCTGTACAAAAATGTAAAGTTTCTGGCTTTTGTGGAGTGGAGACTGTCTTCCGCATTCACACAGTTACCGCTGTGGATCACTGTTTCTAAGAAATCTCCCAGAACATATAATTGGAACTCCCTATACCTTCTTTTTCCTTGCAAACAATACATCTTCATATTTCTGGAATGACTGATGCAGAGATTAGCCTTACTTGCTAAAAAAAAACCCACAATTAAAATAATTTCTTGAGCTTCAAAGGAAGGAAGAGTTCTGTAGGGGGAGAAAAGTAGTAAGAATAAATAATTGTAAACAAATTACTGATTATCTAAATCTCTCCACTTAATTATTTGTTAGTATGTTTCTCAATATATTGAGTCCCAAACAGGCAGAAAGGAATTCAGTGTCAGGCAGGCTGGTTAAATAATTGAGGTCAGAAAATACATGTACAAGTGCCAAAGATCCTATGTGCAATGCACAAACAGTAAAATTTATACCCGTGGTAGAAATATGTGATAAGTGTTAATTGAATACCAATATGTGTAAACCTTGTATTTACATAGATGCATATGCATATGTGTAACAGCATATATATATATATATTCACATACATGTAAATGTTTCACCAAAGATTTTATGTAGAATCATGCCACAAAATAAGCTGTGCTTCCAAAAGGAAAATATTTTGTAAGATATGTAAACTGCAGTGAAGGCTGCATTGAAGTACTCAAAAATTATTTGGTTAAAGGGTAAATACACCTTGTACCTCATAATGAAAATCTTATAGGTAGGGGTGGAGATTAACACTGCAGGCTGTCTGCAGAATATTAATAAAATTCAATATAGTTTCTAAAAGGTATAATTTATATTTTGTGGAAATGAGTCTCTTTTCTAATAAAATTCTTCTGTCCTTCATTCTGTTCATATAATTTTTCTATAAATCATCCTGTAGGAATTTTTTCTAAATATTAATCTCAGGGAGAACCTATTTAAATAAGCCCTCTTAGCAAGGTATTTCAGAATTAAAATTACACCATAAGCGATATTTTATCCAATACGCTTCCTTCTATAGAATTTTTTGTGACTAAACCAATATTTTGCAGAATTACATTATGTTAAAATATCTGATCTGAGATCATGCTTCTAGTATATAAACACAATGTAAAAAAAGATCAACAAATTACCTCTAACAATTTTAATTTAACTGGTCTCTGAACCTGTGCAAAAGTAGCTGCTTTTCTTTCCACATCTACATATATAGTGATAAAAAACCTAAGGGCACTGCACACAATGAAAGAATAAAAGAGGAGAAAAGTGCTCCTGGTTATATTTTATTTTCTTGGATTTGCAGGTGCTTTTTGTAGTTGTGTAGAAATAAAGTCTGTGATGTCCCTGGAATTCTTGGGGACATTTGATCAAAGAAATGGATAAACTGTATTTTTAGAGTGAAAGTCTGGAACCAAAACAGAAGAGAAAACCTTGCACCATTTGCTAGGTGGTGAAACCTTATATTCTAGTTCTGAGTCCTATTTCACAGTGACTTCTCAATTCTTAGGTTAGGTATTTACCTGACACAGGAGACGACTTTCATGCGCTTTTCTGAATTGGGATTCACTGATGAAGTGAATTATTGTCATTGAAAGATGGAAAACAAGTAGCAAATGGAGGTTAAAATTTCAGAAGTTGGGTCAACTTTTCTTCTTTAAGTTCATACTTCCACAATGCTTAAAAGAAGTGCACAAAAGGAGAGGAAAATATCGTATTTATTTGGAAGAAAGGGCAGATTTTCCCATGCCACACATAAATCCTACGAGAGAATGTATTTGCTGCTAAGTTCCCAGGAAACTTGGAAATGGAATAGAGTGACATTGTATATGCAATACTGGGGCTTTCTAACAGAAGACTTAAACTTGCATGAAAACTGACTGATGCATAAGAGCAGGCAAACAAATTTTTCACTACACAACCTGCAGCACAGACCAACACTTCTGCTGAATTTAGATATTTGGTCAGTAAGAATGCTATTACTAAGCAATACACCATATTTATATGGTATACTACATTTAATAACACAGCAATATACAGTGGTATATAATGTCACAAAAATATTACTTCCAAACACGATACCAAATACAAACAGCTTGCTACAGTCAATTCTACACTCTATGAGGCTAAATGCACACCTATTCCCATATCTAGTGCCTGTAAGAACAGCCAAAAAAGGAAGAAATGTGAGAATGGCTGTATGCCAAATGCAACTTAAGCTACTTCTAACATAAGCTCCCATGCTTATTACTACTGCTTGTAGAATTGTCCCCAGCTTTATTGGCCTGTAGGTTTAAGGCACATAACAGCAGCACATGATGGGCCCTCCAAGAATTATCTGCTCAGAAGAGGTCTACATATCAGTTACTGTTTTAGGATGACTTTAAAACTAATGAAAATAATGAAAATCTACTAGATTAACTTAATCTAAAGTGAGCTTTTCAAATATGCCAAGTGACCCTCCCTGAGGAATGTGATAAAGGAAGTAACTGCTGACCTTATACTGCCAGGTAACAATTCTGTGAAGGAGCATGAGCAGTGTGTCTGGAGGAGGAGGGAATTGATAAATATGTTTGCAAACTTACATTTGACAAGTGAAGAACACCTGAACCCCCAGAATTCACATCAAGCTGAAGGTGTTTTCCTATTTTTACTGTACAAAGCCAAAATATTTTTGATATCAAATCCCCTCCTGAGCAGTCTTACTTTTGGACAGTGTTTCTTCATGTACATCTCCTCCCGTCAGGTTTTGGGATCTATCCCTATTAATGCCTTTGACCATCCTCTGTCACTTGCATTATGACATCGAGCAAACAGATATGGGCCATATTTTTTCTCTCTACCTTTCCTTATTTTATTCTACCTTCTGCTGCTTCCAGAAACTTCCTGTCTGCAGAGGACTGGGTAGATTTGACCAAGGACTTATGGAATGTCCATACAGGAACTGGGAGGTTGGATAAGTTACATAGGAGCACCTCAAATGAAAATAGATGTCCTTGTTTGAGTAATTGAACCTGAAATATAGAGGTTAAAACCAGTTTTTCCATCTCACAGGAACCTGTCTATCTGTATTTTGGATATCAGAAATTTATCTCACATGTCTGCATAGTCCTGGCAGATGTGACAGGTGTTTGCAGTAGGTGTGTAGTCCTGTGGAGCAGCAGCTTGAGGTAAGGTGGAAAACACTGAGCCTCCCAAACAGCATTGAATATCAGTGTATTGACAACTAAACTGAGCCCAGAATCCTATGCCCTAATTTAAAATCAGGTAAATTCTGAGTGTTTTAATTTAATTTAATTTCATTTCATTTCCTTTCTATGTGCTTTTCTTCTCAACATAGAATTCTGCTAATATTTTTGCCATCAGAAAAGTTAATCTTCTGCTTCCTTCTCTTCATGACTATAAATGCATGAAACTGACCATAAAATCTTTATGAGAAATTGATCAAAATATAGAGAAGATCACAGTGGGCAAAGTTAGGGTTTTTTGTGGGAAGCATGAAATGCCTTAATAATTACTTTAAACAGTATCTCATAATACTCAGCTTGTGCTGTCTAGATGAAGAATTTGTACACACAGGCATTTTACTCTATTATTAATGTTCTTTCAGTGTCCAGTGGCAGCTTGGTCTTGAAGGTTTTTATTTCTATTTTTATCCTTGTTTATTGCAAGAAACAATTACAGCTTTGATACACATAATCTGGAAGGAAATATTTCTTCTGGGAAATATTTTAACAGTCCATTTAGATTCGTAATTTCTTAGTGAGTCAATATTTTTGTCTTTTAAAATGCTATGTATCCTTTAGGTGTTTTGACTGGACTTGAATTTTAGGTTTGGCGAGTTTGGGTATTTTTTGTAGACTGCTTCTTTTAGCTATATCATTTCAGTTTAAATAATAATAATTTGGTCATTAGCTCAAAGTAATTATCTAATTCCTTAGGGACTAGTGAGAAAAGAAACTGAATTTTGAAATTTGTATTAACATTTTAAATTTGTAATCCGTAATTAATTAGAGTCCCATAAGAACTTGCACACTTTAATTTTCTTTTGGACTCCTATTTACATCATGTAGCATTCACCAAGACCACTCAGAGAATAGTACTTTGCCTGTTGCAAATTCCATGTCTTTGGATATTTTCCTTTCTGGAAAACCCCTTAATAAGGCATTCAGTGTATGATGGAATACTTCAGGAGCTGATTAGCTTATATTCCAAAAGGCAACTGTTAAAAGGTAACAATAGGTTTTCCTGTGTATGTGGAAAATTGCCAAATCCTACCAGCATGTCCAATTTCCCAAAGGAAGTAAACATTAAAAACTCAGCCATTATTCTGTCTTTAGAAGGAAGGTGCAACATTTCAACTTCACACTTTCCTTTGGGGACACACTATGCGTAAAAAAGGAAAATTATCTAAGAAAGTTGTTAAAGAAATAATTCAACCCCTTGGCTTCTATTTTTTTTTTTTTTAGGCTTGGCTATGTTCAGAACAATTAAAAATAACTTATAAATGTAGACACTTCCCTGAAATGCCTGTGTTGGGAGTGCTGATACTTGGGCTTTTCTGAGTAGTCTGTATGTATGAAACCGATGCAATTTAATTAACTAATCTAGCTTTTGAGATTTGTGGTTCAACTTCACAAAATGCTGTTTAGTTTTAGTTCCTCCTAGCCCTTAGCTGTTCTCTGTGTCAGACTTCCACCTTCTTAAGAGTACTCTTTATTCTACAAGATAAGGTACCAGAGCTGAAGCACAGTCATGTATCACCACCTTACCTGCACCTCACTCAGACTTACCTTTGCCACAGTTGTCATGCCTTATCTGTCAACTACATAGATGCAGTGCCATAAATACCCTAAGGCAGCTAAAATACCACCAGCAGATCAAGTTTATGCACATGAATCCACCTCTGTGTTGAGTCTGTACCTATCCTTATTAAGCTCTTTGACACAAGGCACTTCCCCCCAGGTGGGGTGAGTATTCTCCAACAATTACTGCAATCAGTCATCTTGATTTTATGCAACTTTCTGCTTATTTGGCACACTCTATATATTCACATTTTTTGTTTGTCCCTTTCTCTGAGAACAGTCTGGGGATCATACCCAGATATACATGCCATATCCATCACCCCCCACCTGTTCTATATTCTATGGCTTTGGTATCAAAATTTCTTACATTATTTTGCCATCACACTTGACTCTGTAGATTTTGTCATCAATGGCATTGCTGTTCCACATGTCTGGTTATACAAATGCCACAGTCAATATTGCATGGGTTTTTGGAGCAATTTTTTATTGCACCATTTTTGTTCTGGTTTGAGCAGAAGGGAAGAATTTTAAGAAAACATGGAGGAAACTCAGCCTTCTCACAGTTTTTTACTCAGAAGTACTCACAGGAACAGAGCCCAGAGTACTCTGGGGAAGATTTTTTTTTTAAACAATATGCACTTCAAGCATTTTCCCTTTTATTTTAAATGGCCTAAGAGGAAAACAGCTGGTGCAAAATACCTTCTACAATCTAAAATTGGAGATAGTTGTTCCTAGAAGACAACTTGTCTTGAGCAGTTGCACCTCAATTCAGTTGCCCATGTGAAAATCAGATGCCTAGGGGTGCTCACCAGGACTCCAGACAGCATTTCAAAAGGACTTGTACCTCCCTCATCTCCTATTTTACCAACCTGTTGCAGGTGATTCAGTGCAGCAGAGCATTTCAAACATGGATTGCATGTGTTGGTAACCTTGTTGTCTCACTTTAGTTGAGTCCACCCCCTGGAAGTACTAATTACTCTCTGCTTACTATAAGGAGACCTAAATAACCACATCAGGTCTTTGAAATGGTATAATCTAGTAAGGCTGATATGTGCTTTTAACTAGTGGCACAGATAAGCATGAGACTTCCAAGGCAAACATAATTTTTAGAATAAGGATTAGAATTATTTCACAGCCTTTAAACCACACATGGCTCTTGGAAGGGATTAAAGCCTTTTTGTTGTAGCATCTGAGCTTTAGGCACTGGATATTAGAGATGCAGATTCTCTGCAGAGGTGTGGCCAGTTTCTAGCTGTCCAAAACAGTTTACCAATTTCTGTGGCAATTGTGGGAATTTTTCCCCACAGCTCAAGATAGGATTGGTTTGTGATTCAACATATAATTGACCTTTTCTTTCTGAGACCCATAAATAAAGGGTCCAAAGAAACTCCAAGAAGAAAGGGTTGGAGTGGAAGTGCTTGCTTGAGTTGTGTTTTCCTTCTAGAGGTCTAGAAAATCTTCGTGTGTCCTTTTCAACTACCTACATGCAAATGTCCTTTTAAAATTTTTGGTCCTACTTTTCCTGCTGGAGCTGAGAGCTGCAGCTCTCCTTTGAACTTCAACTAATTGCTAATACAGGGGATAGTTGTTTGGGTTTTTTTTGTTTGTTTGTTTTGTTTTGTTTTGTTTTATATCTCCATCTAAATCTGGGCTGCCTAGAATCTAGGAGGTGTTAAACCTCCTAAACTTACTCTTTCAGTATTTCTGTAAGATTTCCCTCTTCCTGAAACTTCCCCTAAAACATATGTAATCCTTACTTAGTGTCATTTTCTCTCTGGAAAAACCATCCAAATGTTCTTTTCTAATAGGGAGAACATTAACCTTTTGAAACAGAACTAGAAACTTGAATTAAATAGTAAGATATTTACCAGCTTAGCATTTTACATGCTCCCTATGATATTTATGCAACTGATATTCAACTTTTTTTACTAATTTTATAACTACTATTTTGCATGGTTTCTTTTATCTCACTAGCATCTCTTACACATTGATAGATTTTCATTTTCCTCTGATTTCACTGCCTTTTAATGTTCACTTTATATTTTGACGTGCTTGCTCTGGATTTCTTCCTGCAAACCCTTTCCTCTTTTACTCTGTGTCATTAGCAAAATACAAAATGCTGTAAGTGTTATTCTGATTTTATATTAAGCATGAATAGATGTTAGAGTCACGTCATGAAAGACATAAACTGCACTTGTATAATCTCTATCAAGGAACACATTTAGAATAGAACAAAAACAATCCAGTGCTGTTTGCTGTCTACTTCACAGGCATATACTTAATTAAGTTATGCTGCCCCTAAATTTCAAAAAGCTTAATCTTTTTCTGTCTTTAAATTAAACTCCCTGTGCTCTACAATGACCAAAACAAATAATCTATGACCTACAAACAAGACACTTGCATTCCCTAAAGATTTACTTCATCTTCTCCTCTAGGTTATACATCTTTGAACCTCTCTTTTCTGTAACGACCTTCTGGTGCTCATTAGCATGCTGATTACCATTAACACAGCTATAATCAAGCAATTTTCTTGGTGTATGTCTGGGAGAAATGCTCATCAGAATGCAGCCAAGGGACAAAATTAACTGCATAAATCTACAGCACAAACTGGATCTCATCCAACTTTACATGAGTCTTCCTCCTTCTGCTAGGTGTGACATCACCATCTTGCTCCCTGCTGATGGCCTAATAAGTATCCCCAGGTTCCACACTATTTAATTTACCCCTTCTCTCAGTTTTACAGGCCCAGTGATAGCTGACCACCTTGCAGTATTTTCTCATAATGTGTGTTTGCCTTTATTCTTTTTCTTCTGTTTCTTCTAATTAGTCATCAAGCTACAGGTACATTTATTAAAAAGATTATACAAATGTATGTGTATGCATTTGTTTACCTGTGCATCATTTATTTCATGTTCTACAAAATAATTTAGAGGGCAATGGACATAGATATTTTCTATGAAAGAACATTTTAGCTTAGATATGCATCTTCTGATTATAGAATAATCATTCCATGTAAGAGGTGGCAGATATTGAACTAAGTATATTGCATACTTTGAATGAAAAGGTTTTCCTAGAAAAAAACTAAGACAGCTTTGGAACTTCAACATGACACAAGCAAACATAAAGCCTGTTATTTTTTGTCCCAGAGTGATATGGTAGACAGACGAAGAAGATGATTCAGGCAGTGTAACTTAATTTAGTCAAAGAT